ATGTCAAACGTGCTTCAAACTAGGAATGGCTTCCTTTGATAATCTGTTCTTCTATTACTTGTGCCTGGGAACCAGATAAGAAGTCTCACTTTGTCTATTTGGCCACCTGTTGTTATCATTTAACTGTGCTTATCATCTGGTAGGTGTTTCAGTTACTAAGTTAGGTGTTTTGTTTTCTTTTGTTTTGTTTTTCTCTTAAAGGGTGTCAAGATTCTCAAACTCCTTTCTTCACCTGTTTTAAAAAGTGCCTAATTCCCCTAAATTCAGTCCAAAGTGATTTTATCACAGAAATGTCCCTTATTTCTTCCTTTCAAAACAAATAAATGGCCATTTCTCTTAGAACTATCAATTATTTAGACTTGAAAGATCAAAAACTAGTTAAATTAAGTAACTAAATTAAAATGACATCAAATGGGAAATGAAACTAGCAGGGTATTTTTATATTCTAAGCAGGAGACAGAAATATGTTGGCAAAGACTGAATGTGGCTTCCTCTGTGTATTATCTTGGCATGACAAAGCTCTTTCCAGCTGATTCAGACTACCTTTGCCCAAAAACCCCACTAGTTTTCTGGCCAATTTCATTCTTCTCAGTAGCTTTTGTTTCTATTGATACAACAAGGTCTGGCCCCAGGCAAAGGGTAAAATAGATAAAATTTGCCTTTGGCTCCTCTCCAGTTAGAAATGTCGACCTAGTGATTCATTCAGGAAATAAGCTTCAATGAGGGGAGAGTTGAAGCTGTACATAAAAACACTGGGTAGAGTAAGTGAAGGACAAAACCTTAAAGGGTCTTGCTTATTCCGCAAATCTTCATCAATTATCTTCTAAGCCAGACCATGTGAGTAGAATCTGGGGGTACAAAGGTACACCTCCTTTGAGAGAGCAGGACTTAAAAGAAAAACCAGAGAAGGAACATTCAGAGAGATAGGAGGAGAACCCACTGTCTTCAGGATCAAAGAGCCACCGGAAGAGTAAATACAGACATACCAATTTTTATTGTGCTTCATTTTAGTGCTTTTTTTCTTTTTTCTTTTTTTTTTTTTTTTTTTTTTTTTTTTTTTTTACAAATTGAAGGCAAGACCCTCTACCAGCAAAAATAATATTACTCCTTTTACTATGATACTTTCTTTAGTAGAGTGGTCTGGAATTGAACCCACAATATTTCCAAAGTATGCCCATATAGTGCAAAAGGCTGGTAGTGTCACGTGAACTGTTGATATCTGAAGGAAGGTCTTTGAATTTGGTAACCAAGTATAAACACTGAGTGGCCAAATTATTATGATCTCTGAATGCATAGTAATCTGGCCACTCAGAGTATATCCTGTTATAATAAAAGGCTAATATGCAGCCAGGAGTTCAACCAGCTGGCAAGCCAGCCAATCGCCCATATAACCTCCCCCTGACCAGGCTGACAGGACCCCACCTATGCACAAATTCATGCTCTAATATATATATATATATATATATATATATATATATATATATATATATATATATATATGTATATATATATATATATATATATATATATATATATATATATATACTGAGTGGCCAGATTATTATGCATTCAGAGATCATAATAATCTGGCCACTTAGTGTATATATACATATATGATACTTAACACAGTGCCTCACACTAAGTAAGCACTAAATTCATATCACTTGGCTCCTTATTATCTACACTAGAGGCCCAGTGCATGAAATTTGTGCACGGGGGGGGGGGGGGTGTCCCTCAGCCCAACCTGCACCCTCTACAATCTGGGATCCCTTAAGGGATGTCTGACTGCCCTATTAGGCCCTATCCCATCAGGATTGGGAGTGAAAGGGCAGTCAGACATCCCTCTCACAATCCAGGACTGCTGGCTCCCAATTGCTCACCTGCCTGCCTTCCTAATTGCCCCTAACTGCTTCTTCCTGCCAGCCTGATCACCCCCTAACCACTCCCCTGCCAGCCTGATTGATGCCTAACTGCTCCCCTGCCAGCCTGTTTGCCCCCAACTTCCTTCCTCTGCTGGCCTGGTCACCCCTAACTACCCTCCCCTGTAGGCTTGATTGCCCTCAACTGCCCTCCTTTGCAGGCCTGGTCCCCCCAACTGCTCTCCCCTGCAGGCTTGGGTCCCCCCCAACTGCCCTTCTCTGCAGACCCAGTCACCACCAACTTCCCTCCTCTGCCAGCCTGGTATATCCCAACTGCCCTCCCCTGCTGGCTTGATTGCTCACAACTGCTCTCCCTTGCAGGCCTGGTCCCTCCCAACTGCTGTCTCCTCCTGGCCATCTTGTGGTGGCCATCTTGTGTCCAATTGGGGGCAGGATCTTTGACCACATGGGGACAGTCATCTTGTGTGTTGGAGTGACAGTCAATTTGCATATTACTCTTTATTAGATAGGATAGAGGCCTAGTGCACAGGTGGGGGCCGGCTAGTTTGCCTGAAGGGTGGCCCGGATCAGGATGGGGGTTCCCTTGGGGTGTGGGGCAGCCTTAGCGAGGGGCCTGTGGTGGTTTGTAGGCCAGCCATACCCTCTGGCAACCCAAGGAAAGGCCCTGGTATCTGGGGTTTATTTATCTTCTACAATTGAAACTTTGTAGCCTGGAGCAGAGCCAAGCCTTCTACTTGCTCTTTGGTGGCTGCTATTTCTGCTGGGATTTATGCATCTTCTATAATTGAAACTTTGTACCCTTAGGCTGAGGACTGGGCAAGCCAGGGTGAATTGGGATGCTTGGCTTCCTTCATTGCCAGGGGAAACCCTATCCCCCTGCTCTTTCCAGCTCTATAGCTGCGGCCATTTCTGTTTGAATTTAAGTATCTTCTATCATTAAAACTTTGTAGCCTTAAGTGGAGGCCTGGGCCAGCCAGAGTGCGCAGAAAGCTTGGCTTCCCCCATTGCTGGGGAAACCCAAGCCTCCCTCCTGCTCTTTTTGTGGTAGCAGCCATCTTGGTGGTATTTATTTGCATACTCGCTCCTGATTGGATGATGGGCGTGGCTTGTGGGTGTAGTGCAGTGATGATTAATTTGCATATTTTTTATTAGATAGGATTACTCATGAAATTACTTAAGGAGTGTTTCTTAACCAGGTTGGGTCAACATAAGTAATTCAAGGTAGTAAAACATCATTTTTTTGAAAACAAACTCAGATTTCATCATTCTCCCTCCACCTCCCAACTGGTAGGGATATTGAGGTATAACTCTATTTAATATAGAATAGATGATCGTCAAAATTGGTTTTTTCACTTCATATCTAATATTATCCAAAAGCCTTTCCTTGATCAGAAGCATTTTTCTAGGTAAGCATTTTCTAGGTATGCCTGGTTCCAGACTAAAATCTACTACTTTTGTAAAGAAATAATTGTGGATGACAGAAGAAGTGTAGAAAGTCCTAGTGCCTATTTTTATGGGATCAATATAAAAGCATTGCCTGCCTTTACCTGAGGTAATTATGTAGTGCACTACTAACACATTATTTTATTGATGTAATACATGTGAGTGCTACACTGATATTTATCATTAGAAATAATGGCTTACGATATAGGGTAATATGTGTTCTAATAACTATTTTACCCTTATTATTACCCACACAGAATTCTTTCATGTTTTCATTTATCATTTTTAATAATAAATAACATATTTTAGTCATTTATGGTTTCTTTACTAAGATCTGTTGCAATGATAGATACAGAAATAGAAGATTGAGTCACTGCCTGCAAAGAACCTATCTATAATAATAAAAGCATAATATGCTAATTAGACCAGAGAGGCAAATGACCTTCTGGACGTCCTTCCAGATGACATTCTGGATGAAGCCACAGCAGTAAGGGCTGAGGCAGAGGCGGCAGCTGCAGCAGGCGGGGCAAGACAGAGGTGGTTAGGGATGATCAGGCAGTTTGGGGCAATCAGGCAGGCAGGCAGGTAAATGTTTAGGAGCCAGCAGGCCCGGATTGTGACAGGGATGTCTGACTGCTGGTTTAGGCCTGATCTCAGCAGTCAGACATCCCCTGAGGGGTCCCAGATTGCGAGAGGGCACAGGCCTGAGGGACACCCCCCCCATGCATGAATTTCGTGCACAGGGTCTCTAGTGTTTTAACAAACATGCTCTTCAAAAATAATTCAAGGATAATAGCACAGGGTCTCTAGTGTTTTAACAAACATGCTCTTCAAAAATAATTCAAGGATAATAGCAAACACTCAAGTACCATAGACCTGAGTACTATAGTCCTGTGTCACACCTCATGATGGGGCAGGGGTGGGTGGGTTGCAGTATAACAAGTATAGACTATTATACTCATCCCACAAGAATTTCCAGTCATATAAGCCAGTCAGAGAAAGATAAGTATCACATGATCTCACTTATATGTGGAAGCTAATGAACAAAATAAGCTGATGAAGAAAATTGATGTAAAGACATTGAAGCATGCAAGAGATTGGTGTATTTTAGAGGGAAATGGGTGGTGAGAAGAGATTAACCAAATAACTTACATTAATTTATGCATAACCCATAAACAGACAATGGTGCAGTAAAGTCCTCAGAAGGGGGTGGGAGCAGGGTGGAGAGGGTCAATGAGGGGGGGTGGAGGGGACATTTGTAATACTTTCAACAATAAAGATAAATTTAAAAAATAAAAAAGAATTTCCAGACAAGTGGTGGAAATAAAACATAAGAGCATGGAAATTAAAATAAGAAAACAATTGGTAAACAGTGATATGTCACAAGGGAATAGAAGATGAGTTGCAAGGTAGCAAAAAAAAAAAAGGAAAAAAATCTGAATCAATTACCCTAAGCCAATATGCCTCAGGACAAAAGGACAGCCAGTGTCCTTTTCTTAACATCAAGATAAAGTATTTTAGAACCCACTGAATGCTACTACTTTTCTAACCAAAGCACTTACAAATCAATTGCTTGTAGTAATATAAGACTTTATACTTACACCAAAAAGGTATATTAAGTGGCAAATGACTGATGAAAATACTGTCTCTAAACTTTTTTTAATTTTATTTTTCTAGAGGGCTGATATAGCTGTTGCTCCACTCACTATAACGCTGGTCCGTGAAGAAGTCATCGATTTCTCAAAGCCATTTATGAGCCTGGGCATCTCCATCATGATAAAGAAGCCTCAGAAATCAAAACCAGGAGTATTCTCATTTCTGGATCCCTTGGCTTATGAAATCTGGATGTGCATTGTCTTTGCTTACATTGGTGTCAGTGTAGTTCTTTTCCTAGTCAGCAGATTTAGCCCTTATGAATGGCACTTGGAAGACAACAATGAAGAACCTCGTGACCCACAAAGTCCTCCTGATCCTCCAAATGAATTTGGGATATTCAACAGTCTTTGGTTTTCCTTGGGTGCCTTTATGCAGCAAGGATGTGATATTTCTCCAAGGTTAGTTTCCATGTCATACTCTTGTATTTTATGGTCATGATCCATTCATATACATCTCAAGTCCAGATTTTCTTCATTGAACATTCCATCCAATGACAAATTATCATCAAGCCCTTTTGTTTGCTTGCGTCCATGAAATGACTGTGTTATTTGTGTGGCTTTGAATGTCTTTCATGCATTTCTATGGTAGTGTATATTCATATACATTATAGCAAACATTTGAATTCTGGGTAAAAGCAACATTGCCAACTCATATTAATTTTATTCAGGTAAAGCTAATACTAAATCTTTGTTATAGCAACCAGAAATAGTTTCCTCATTGAGCTAAAACATTTTCTCATTTATACAGAGATTGGATCTAGCAAAAATTTGAAAGAAGATAGAACTCTTATTTAAAACCCTCTTACCTTCCACTTTCAATGTCCTTACTTTTTTACATTTTGTTCTCTTCCTGCTTAGAACTATCCATTTTAGTATCTTACCCAAGTTTTTCTTTATAATAAAAACTATAAAATTTCTTTTTTAAAAAGAGGAACTCTGTGTGACCTTGAATTGGACAAAGTTTATAGAACACAAAAACCACAATGCATTTAAAAAATTGATAAACTAAACTCCATCAAAATTCAAAATTTTACATTTCAAAAGACACATTATTCAGAAAATAAAAAGACAAGCCAAGGCTGGGAGAAAATATTAGCAAACTGCACATCTGATAAATGACATATCCTGAATATTTGAATATCTCTTACTATTCAATGAAAAGATAACCAATCCAATTTTTAAAGTGGACAAAACATTTAAATAGACATTTTTCCCAAAGAAGATACACAAATGGTTAATAAACATATGTAAAGATGCTCACCATCATTAGTCATTAGGAAAATGCAAATTAAAATCACAATGAGATACCTCTACACATCCTCTAGAATTGCTATAATCAAAAGGACAAGAGGTGGTGAAGATGTAGAATGACTGTAGCTCTCATCCATTTATAGTGTGAAATGCAAAGTTCTACAAGCCAAATTACAAAATGGTTCAGCATTTTATTGTAATTAGATATAGACTTAAACTATGACAGCAATTCCACTCTTATTTACCTAACAGAAAAGAAAACATGTGTCTATATACAAACCTATACACAGATGTTCATAGTAGCTTTATTCATAATAGCCAAAAAATGGAAACAACCCAAATGCCCACCAACAAATGCATGGATAATTAAAATGTGGCATATCCATACAACGGAATATTATTCAGCAATTTTTAAAAAACTACTTACACATACTACAATGTGGATCAACTTTGAAAACATTATGCTAAATGGAAGAAGCCAGAGACAAAACACTATGTATTATATGAGTCCCATTCATTGAATTGCATTTACTAGTATATTGTAGTATTCCATTTGTCCACAACAGGCATCTCTATAGAGACATAAAGTATATTAGTGGTTTCCAGGGGAGGTTGAAGGGAGCAGAGAGAGGCTAATCAGGAGCAGAATTAGGGTGAGGCAAGTGAGACTGAATAGAGAAAGTTCAGGGGACAGATTCAGTTTTTATTTAAAATGTTGGCTTTTGGTTAGTTGTGCATTAATTTTGTTTTTTAAAATATTGCATTAAAGTGCTATTTATCTTGATTGATGATATTTTTGCACCCCCTTTAAATTTAGTGCATGGGACAAATGCCCCACTTGCCTTACCCTAGTCCCAGCCTTGTCAGGATTAATTACAAATGAGTATAAGGGAACTTTGGGGAATAAATGTTCCAAAAACAATTATGGTGATGTTTACACAAGTCTAAATTTACTAAAATTACTATTTGTACATTTACAGTGGTGAATTTTTATGGTATGCAAATGTTATCTCAGTAAAACTATTGAAAATATTGTGAATGTCCTGGACTCACCCACTTAGTTTAAGCGTTAACTCACCTAAACAAAAATGGTAGCTAATTCATAATGATAAAATATCAGAAGCAAATATAGCATCTTTATAATCAGAATAAAATGCTTTGCTCTAAAATAAAATGTTGCAGCTTTGGTAAAATTGAACATGTATCCAAATACTGACCAGAATCAATTACACAAATATTTAGGAATTTTTATTTAGAATATAAGGACTCAGGAAGTCACCTAACCAGTTTTTAATTTTTTATTAAATTTATTGGGGTGACATTTGTTAATAAGATTATATAGTTTTCAAGTATAGATTTCTATAATGCATGATCTGTATAGGTTTTTAAAGTATACCTCATTTTGAGATTATTCACTTGGATCACAAAACATTTCAAATGAAGTTTTGCAGTATAATTCACCTGGTAACCATCTTCAACAGGTTTTCAGCATAACATGGTGAGGTAAGCCATTTGTAGTCATACTTTTTTGCCACCCTTAATTTGTTTGGTCAGATTCTCCAAATTATTTTACTCTCTATTTCATTTGTGCTTAGAATGTGTGTCATTCTGTGATATCACCTGGGAGTACATTTGTTTTGCTAGTTGGCTTTCCTATTTTTTTTAAACATTAACTTTAAGAAACCAGGGTTTCTGAATGATGCCATAATTGAATAATCTTTAACATGGCTGGTAATCTGTGTTGAGACAATGCTAAAGTCATTAAGGCTGGAGATTTTATCAGTTCCTATAAGTGAATTTTCAAAACTAAATTTGTGATATCCCCACTGGAGTACTGCATACTACTTTGCATACTTACACAGGTCTCTTAAAAAGTCATTTGTTTTTAGAAGTATTTATGCATATCGCTTTGTTAAGTGAGGTTTAAAGATGATGACCTGAAAATTATAAGCTCAACAATTTTTTTATAACAGAATTTAAGCTGTGGTTCTTGTGAGGCATTGAAATATGTCAAATTTATACTCCACTAGATACTGTCATACAGAGCAATGGTTTTCAAATTTCTTAACCATAGCCCTCAGAACGAAATTTTCCATCATGACTCAGTACACATATGTGTATATAACAAAAGTGTCACCAGACATTACCCTAACAGTGTACCATGCACTTTAATGTTTTCTATTCTTTTTTAATGCTGATAGAAACTCAATGGGGCACACAGCTTATGGAATAACACTGGTCTAGAGTAAGAAGTATTATCCTTATTGTTCTTTTGAATAATAAATTATTACCTTTCTGAGCTCCATAATTTCTACCATATGGGTGATTTCTCCTTCAATACAGTCTTTTTTGCCCTTTGAAAGCAATTATATCCTTAAGTTTCTTGATAAAATGTTATACTTCTTAGCATGTTATACTTCTAGTAAGGGGGAAACATGTTTCCCCTTGTCTTGAGAGCTCTATTGGTTATATATTTGTACTCAATTGTATAACAGCAAACCCCACTGAAATATGCTTCTTTATTAGCACTTTTAGAAATTCCTTATAATAACATAGTTGTGCTCTAAGGTTCATTGTTGCCTTAATTGCAAATACCAGTATTATACTTTATTTGTTTAATGGCCACATTTAGAATGCAAACACTCCAGTGAGTCCAGAATGTGGGCATGCATCGTACTTTTACTTTTCTCAAAACTGAAGCAATTCAAGGAACTATAAGAAACAGCTTTAAAGTAAAGTGATTAAATATTATGACATGAAAAGATGTCAGAGATAAATGAACCCAACTGCTTCCATTTACTGAAGGCACAGGGACAACAACCTTCACTGAACTCTACTATGTATGAGTACTTTACCTGCGTTATCATGTGGATATTAATCCTCAAAACACTGTCATAGGGTAGGCATTATACTTATTTTTAAATTGAAGGAGGTGATGCTCAGGTTAACATGCCAGGCACACAGCTAATAAACAGCAAAGCCAGTATTCAAACCTAACTCCAATTCCAAAACACTTCCATGTCATGCTGCATTTCTTATATCAGAGACAAAGGAACCATACCCGAGAAATAATGTAATGAACCCAATGTCATGGAGATTTTAAGAGCCAGCAGTATAATTGTTTCCACTATCATATACTGCCTATCATTGCTGATCTCAAGGTGCATCTCTTGTTCCATTCTTTTCTTTCATGTTCATGCACCAGAGCTGTTTTCCACTCCCCCAAACTTTAATGAAACTCTGCCTTTGCCTTTGTTGTCAAAGAAACTAGGCAATGAGTATTTAAAATGATGCTGAGCATGTGTCTAGGAAATCTGAGCATCATTCTATTTCCATCAAACAAAGATATTGAAAGTAACCTAGAATCTTGGGTTAGTCAGTATTAGGCTTGATATTTTCAACCAGCTCATAGGGTGAACAATTCAGCTGGAGTCTGAATTACCTTTAGAAAGGGTAAACAATGTAATAAGCTGAGGTTATATCTACACATGAACTAATTTACTGGAGGGAAGGGGAAGTCAGTATAGTTAATATATTTCATTATTAACTAAGAAATTCTAGTTTCTTATTATTACAGATAACAAGAGCAGTGCATATTTTTCTGCAATGTTTTTACATCTGAGGATATTACATTCCCTTCCCCTGAGTGGGTGGAGGAGTGGAGAGATAGATAGTGGGTATATCCAGACTGAGAGAGCATAATGATTAAATATGTGGGTGCTGGAAATAGTCTCACTAGATTCACAATCTGCTTAACAGTTGTGTAACTTGAGGCAGTTCCTCATGTAGGTTCTCAATAAATGTTAGCTATTATCATTTTTAAACTGGCTGCTCTTAACTATCCTATTTTCACAAATACTAATAGTTAATATTGCATTTGAATTTTAATTCCTAAAACTCTATAGAAATACAGATGACATGTTAGTCAATGCCAAATAGATTTCTGATGATAAATCACTAACAGCACTCCATCTTGAACACATATAGTGCTTTCCTTAAGTATTACACCAATAGCAAATAGTTTGATTATATTATTCCATGATGTCTTATTGATATTGGTAGGAGGTTGCAATTTTTAAAATCTGAAGTATATTTCATTTATAAAACTTTGATAGACCTGCTAAGCTGTCTAAAGTCCAAGTCCTTCC